ACCGAATTAATCAGCGTGTCCACTACAGCCTATTGTAAGGCATTGGTCCTCCTAGACTGTTCCTGGCCCATCGCACGAGAGGGGGAGTCCTGTCGTGGTTGCCCACACTGCGAGGCGTCCTAGAATATTTCCAGTGCACGTGGGGGCGGGCGTCACGTGTGCTCACGGGGCTCGCGGCCAGTCTGCCGGCATGGTTCAACTGGGGTGAACTTTCAGCTCTGGGCTCTGAGTGCGTCACCGTTCGCGTCCCCATAACAATGGTCACATAATACTAGCATACTTAGGATTTTTCTTCATTTGAATGGAAGGACTTAGATGTTTGCGGACGCCAATCGGGTGGGAATTTATGCACTCCTAAAGTCAGCGGAAGTGACACATGGTTGTCTACACAGTGGCGACATGCTTTTTCTGTCTTTGTAGTTGAAAATGAAAGCTGAAAAAGGAAGCGTTCTTTATTTTTAACCACGCATGTATTCCATGCTTTTATACGAATAAAATTCAAAATTAACCGAAAAGCAGGAAAGGCGTATTACCGGTTTGCAGTATTTTTTAGGTTAAATAATTGTTGTAATTTACAATTCTACAACTTTAGATATTATTTTCAAAGTACTTTATTTCGTTCAAAATACCTCTGCTCTTGGTCCAGCGTACACTTACCCGCCTTGCGCGAACAGCACTCACAGGCGATATGTGTTCAATGCTCTAACACTGTTCTCACACGTCTAAGGAACTAGCGACTGCACTGTTCCCCCACGATAACGACAAACCGCATCCTACTGGCGTAAATGCTGCCTAATGTAGCAATGGTTGTCTGCATTTAAACAAGGCGCTGTTTTTTACCCTGACAGAATCAAGTCCCAGAATGTCCGACTTCAATCCGTGGGCGGTTTGAGCAGAGGAAAGACCATCAAGATTGTCAAAATGCTCTCCGTCGTAGTCATTAACTTCTGCCTCTGTTGGTTGCCGCTCTTCACTGTATTTAACATTATCAAGTTTTCCACGTACTATGCGACTCCCGAAGGCGGCGCAGGCGCAGTCAACGCCTCCACCATCACGACCACAAACACCACCGTGACGGTGAGCAAGCAGATGTCTCCAGCTATCTCGATGGCAGCCCTTGAATATGTGGTTCCCTTCGCACAACTACTGGGTTCAGCCAACAGCTGTGTCAATCCCTGGATCTACTGTTTTTACTCGAAGACCTACCGACGTGGTTTCAGGAAAGTTATGCAATGTCAGTCAGCTCGACGACGGCCACGGTTTGGTCAGCGCGTCTACTTGCGGGAAAATACCTGGTTCACCGGCAGTGACCAACGCAGCCTACGCGTACACCCCACTAGGTCCGCCATTTTGCCACATAAAAACTGAAGCTTCTAAAACATCAAAAACTAACACATGATGTGAACATAACTTTTTTTAAAGATTAAACTGACATTTTTATAGTAAATAAGAGATGTCGCACGTTGTTTTTTCGTCATTTGTTATTTACGTAAGACAGAAAATCATAAAGATTTTATAAAACAATGTGCTGTCTTATGCTGCAATATGAAGGTTCGTTTAGAGCCAACAAAGGCCTTGTTAAAGTTAGCGTATCCATTTTTAAGGGAGAAATGCATATGAGTAGTACAATGAGGGAAGTCTGCGATGTTGGGGAAAAGGTAAATTTTTGCAATACGGTTTCCAAATAGTTTTTTTAATTTGAATTTATTTTCCGCTTTCAGGGAGGAGTTAAACAAAAACTTAATATTTAGTGGCAGCAAGTGTCTTCCAAACCCGCAGCAGATATTGAAAAAAACTGTAGCATTCTGGAAGTCAAATTAGGCGAACGAACTTCTTCGATTATTCATCATAGTACAAGGGCGATAAAATAAGGGAAGGTAGAGTTAACGAAAGTTTAACCAACCACTGGGTAGTGATTAGAGGGAGAGGCGTTAAGGGTTCAAAGGGTCAGATTCTAGTCAAAATTAGGAACCAGAGAGGGCGCGGGACAGGGGACCGCCCAGTAATTCATGTCGCCCTGACGTCACTGTCTCACTTCGTGTTGAGATGCGTCAGGACGTAAGGTATCACGGTTTCGCGACGGTGTGGGCTTGAGCGACGTGAGGATGCATGCTGCCGCTCTCACATCTCCGTCTTGTCGCCATCTCGCGAGGTGGTAGAAAGCGCTTGGAGTTGAGTTATTGAGTTGGTCTTCGGCCACGGTAGCCTAAAGGACTTATACGTGCAAAAAATCGGGTAAGTTAGCAATATGGCGACTGCCTATGCCGTCGCAAGTATCCGCTGACGCAAATGACTCGAAACGCTTGGTTGACGTCTACTCGGTGACCGCTCTCAACCAAGTGAACTAGAATCGCGCTAGATATTGACTTTACCACTTCTCGGTTAAGACAGGCAGGATGGTATCCTTGCATGCGTGTTTTGATAGCCGCATACTCGTTCGACCAATAAAACCTACTCCACAAGAGTAAGTTAAGGCGCAGATGCACATTGAAGAGGTCTGGGACGGGAGTCTATCCTTGCCTACAAGGCGCAAAAAATAGCTGCTTGAAAATGCTAATCTTATCGTAGCTGCTTGGTACGTGTACGCGATTTCAGTCTTCAAGCGAAGCTGTAGAAGGTCACTTCCTTGTTCTCTTCGAAAAGCCAACAGTTAGAAACAACGTTTCCTTCGCAGGGGTCAGCACCTTCGATTGTGGTTGACATTTCTCCATAAATTTATTGATAAACTTCTCGGGAGAATTATTATCTTGCGGACTATTTTTAACAAAGTGAGGTCGTTTTGTAGTGCGGTTCGGTTGGGAGAGCACCGAACTTGGTTTTGTTTCTGGCTTAATCGAACAGAACTGTATATATTTGTGTATTTCCCCTGTCCATGCTTTCTAACGAACTGCACTTATCCTTATTGTTCCATCAGACCTTCAACTAAGAAGGACGCCCACTTAAGAGAGGCACTGTCTGTTTTTTTGCAAAGTAAATGTTAACGCT